TTGTAGATGACTCATAGCAACCTTATGAACAAAACACCTGAGCACTGGTCGTAGAGTTTCCAGAGGCAAGCCATTTCGGAAGTGGATTCCACTCCTGCTTCCAAGCTTGTTTTAATCAGGAAGCTCCACCAAACACTGTCCACCATGGGTAACTGTTATCACATTTGGCACATCAGTGTCACAGTGTTTAGCATCACAGCAATCCCGAGTTGCCTCTGTACAGTAATGCACAGATGAGTTCTATAACACCTAGGAGAATGTTTGACAAAAAAAAACAAAACCCCAAGAACTCAACAAACTGTTAGAGCTAGTGGACCAGTTTAGCAGGATACAAGATCAATATTCAAAAATCAGTGGGATTCCCTACAATAACAAAGAAAACACAGAGAAGGAAACTAAGAAAGTAATATCATTTACAGTAGCTAACCACAAATTGAGATACTTGGAGTAAAGCTAACTAGAGGCACAAAAGACCTATCCAAAGAAAACCACAGAAAATTTTTGTGAGACACAGTAAAAGAACCAACTAAAGTGTGAAAATGTGTCCTATTCATGGATAGGAAGACTCAATATTGTGAAAATGACAATCCTACCAAAAACAATCTACATGTTCAATGCAATCCCAAAATAAGTACCAAATTCATTTTCAAGGAGATCGAAAGGAAAACTGTCAAGTGTATTTGGAGAGGAAAGAGACCTCGAATAAGCAAAGCACTTATGAAAAACAAAAATGTAAAGGGGGGCATAACACTTCCTGGTACAATGACAGGCACATAAACCATTAAAACAGAACTGAGAATCGAGAAATGCAACTAGATATCTATGGTCAACTGATATCCAACAAGGAAATAAAACCTATCAAATGGGGAAATAACAACTTTCAACACTGGCAAAACTGGACTGCTACCTGCAGAAAGCTAAAACAGGATGCACATCTCACACCATACACAAAAATTAACTCAAGGTGGATCAGAGACCTGGAAGTAAAGCCCAAAACCATAAAATTCATCAGAACAAATTGGTATCAAGCTTACATGGGATAAAGAGACTGCCAAATACAGCCAGAAATGAACAATCTGAAGAGGATAAAATTGATGAATGGAACCCTCTAATGATTAAATCCCTATGTGCATCAAAAACATTTTCCAACAGAGTGAAAAGAAAACCTACTAACTCAGGTAAAAAACACCTGTAATACCACTTCAGATAAGGGTCTCAAATCAAAAGTTGACAAAATCCTAGAGGGCCTCCACAGGAAAAAGACTGTTAACACAATTACAATATGGGCAAAAGACATGGAAAGAATTTTCACAGAGGAAGATACTCAGATGGCCAACAGACATATGAAGAAATGCTCAAAATCACTGGCAATAAGAGAGATGCAAATTAAAACCACAATGAGATCTCATTCCATACCAGTAGCAGTGGCAAAGTTTAACAAGACAGCAAGAAATAAATGTTCGAGAGGATGTGGCAAGATAGGAACTCTTATACATTGTTGTGGGACTGTAAAATGATAGAACTACTCTGGAAGGCAGTTTGATGTTTCCTCAGAAAGCTGACTATAGAAATTCCATATGACCCTGCTATTCCACTGCTTGGAATAAACCCTGATAAAGTGAAAACTGAGGCTCAAATAGACACTTGTACACCAGTGTTCACTGCAGCATTATTCACCATCGGCAAGAACATGGAAACAACGCAAAAACTTAATCACAATCAAATGGATTGAGAAAGTATGGTACATTCACACAACAGACTACAAAGCACACAGGAGCAATGATTTTGTAAATTACTACCTAACTTTGGAGGAACTGGAGAGCACTGTGCAAAGTGAACTAACTCAGTCTCATAAGGATAAATATTATATAAGATTATTGTTGTAGAATGAGTATGAGGATGGGGGAAAGCAGAGGACTGAGGATGGGCAGGGGTGGAGAGGAGGCATTAATCATAGGTTCACACAATTTGATGGGTGGAGCGAAGTGTGTGTAAAGGAAACAGGAAAGATACAGTAGGGAAAACTATGCATAAGAACTTTTTAAAAACCTACAATGTACATGCATAATGTAATATATATGAATGACTGTATGTAAACCAATAAAAATATGAGGGGGGGATAAAAAGACTAAGGCCCCCTGATGCAAGCAATGTTCTTTTCACTTGCTTCCTATGCCATCTTTAAGTCAGACCATGAATAAGAATTACAGAAGAAGTGATGCTTTTGAATTGCTATGCTGGGCATGTTGGCAGGAGAGACCAGTCCTAAGAAAATAAATCATGTTGGGGAAGTACAGAGGAGAAGAAGAAGATTCTCAACAAGACAGACTGGCATAATGATTGGAACATACCAGAGATCGTGAGGATGTTCATGGACAGGGCAAAGTTCAGAACTGACAACTCGGGGTTAAGTTGTAGTTGACTCGATAGCATCTATCAACAACTTGGGTACTGATGGTAGATCCAAATAAAATTAAACCATCGATAAATAGATATTCATTTCAAAGATTTCATTTTACTCATATTCACAATAAACTCCTTTGGAAACAGCAGTCAAGAAATCAAAGGATGTGTTTTGTTGGGCACATCTGCTCCAAAATGCCCCCTTAATGTGTTAAAAAACAAAGATGTCATACTCTGAGGCCTAAGATGTGCCTGACTCAAGCCATGGGATTTTCTGTCTCCTCATATGCAAGCAAAAGTTGAAAATGAGTTAAGAACAACTGAAGAAGTGATGTCTTTCAAGGTTGAGAACACAGATTATGGCACAGATCTGTAGAAGAACAAATAAATCTGTCTTGGAATCACAACCAGAATGTTCCTTAGAAGTGAGAGTGCCAGGAATTCAGTTCACGTACTTTGCATGTATCAGGATGAAACAGTCCCTGAAGGAGGACATTTACACTTGGTAAAGTAAGAGTCAACAAAATGAGTCAATGTGTTGGTTGGACTGACACAGAGGCTCCCACAACAGGTCCAAACACACCAACCACTGTGCAGCTGGCATAGGACGAGCAATATTTTCATTCTGTTATACACAGAATCACTGAGGCATCAACTCAACTGCACTAAAGCTGTAATCTATCCCGGTCTTGCCTTTCTGGGGGCTGAAGCATAGCTCTTTGGACAAGAATGACCTCAAACCAACAATTATCCTTCCTGTAACAGCAAAAGATTATGAAACTTATTCTCTTAAAATAAGAAGAAACTTCCAAAATAATTTAAGCTCTTCACAGGAATAGCTATCATTTATCATTTATTGTTTCATGTACTAGGCACCACATACGGTACTATGTAGAAATTATTTCTGCTTATGAACATAGTCAATCTTTTTCCTAAGCTAACACAAAACTTAAAAATCACTAAATAAATTTTTTAAAAAAAAATCCCTATTCACAAACTATACAATAAACCCACACCCATTAAATAAAACAACATACCAGATTTTGAGTGCTCACTTCTCTAGCTATCCTATCACCTTCTTTTTGAGATCATTCTAAGGCTGACACCTTTAACCAGAGGTTAAAGGGCACCACTTCAATTGTCAGTTAGATGAAATTCTTTAGGGCAAATCAGTTTTCTATTCAACCATTTAGGCACATTTTCTTTTGTGGAACTGACTGAAATCCCTTTAACGTAGCAGCATTCATCTTTCTGCCCCTTTCTACCATCTGAGCTTTGTTTTGGCTCTTCTTGGTCTCATAGAGTCAGTTTTGCCTAGAGTTCTCCTACGAGGAAAAGATGGCAAAGCTTCATCTTTCATACTCTGGAAATGTAGCCAAGAGAGGCCATTCCTTGGAAAGAAACATCATGTTTCGGAAGGTAGAAGGTCAGCGAAGGGGAGGAAGATCCCCAACGAGAGGAACTGACACAGCGACTACTGACTAGTGCATGTGGTTATGGTCTTTCAATGAAATATTTAATATATCCTTTGAACACAGGAGAGTGAACTATAAAACATGTTTTAATTTGCATGTATGCCTAAGTAATTCACTCACTGACAAAATTATAATATACTTATATATTTGGAGATATAATTAAGTTCTTTAAAATTGTGATTCGTTTTCATTGTATTGATAGTTTAAAGAAAGGTTCCTAGAAAAAAAAATTCTAATCCATCAGATGGAAAGTTACAAGTAAGAAAAAGTTCTTTTTGGAATTAAAAACAAGGAAAAGAGAATATTGTGCTTGACTGGGATAATGCAGCAGTACCATGTGTTATGACATACCTGTAAAAGCTATCCCTCTTTTTACAAATGCACATTTTAAAAATAACTCAGCTGTGGTAAAATTATTACTTTATTTACAGTAATAATTAAAAAAATAAAACTACCATTCTGAAATTTATCAGCACTTGATACATTTAACAAATACTGAAAGGAGCAATTGTCACTGTTAGAATAACTGTAGAGCTAAAATCAAATCAGATTTAAGAAAAACTTCAGAAAATGTTCAGAATGTATACACTTCCATGCATTTTCAGCTGAATACAGATTTCACATATAGCAAAATGACAACTGTGAATCAAAATAAATGTCAAAAATATTTAAACCTGGGACACTGTAATTAAGCAAGAAAAGTCAATATTAAGGGCAGACTATTTCTAGGAGAGAAAGAATTTGCAGACTTCCTTTATTGTCATACCTATATCCAAAGTTAATCTTTTAATAAAAATTGCCATTAAGTCATTCATACTTCATTAATTTACTCTTCAAGTTGTATGTCTCAAAAAACATATTCATTTACATGTTTTGACTGAATTAAAATTAGTCAAAAGCCATTTACTTCAGAATCTTAAGAAATATAAGCTATAACTTATCAAAGCATAGTCCATACAATATATAATTCTCCCAGTCAGTTTTTATATACTTCATCTGAAAAAACTTATTTTACAAGCAGGAGTTATGCCTTGTTTCTTGAGTAAAATTCCCTAAGCCTAAAACTTTAATAAGAGATAAGCAAAAACACCGATTCCAATACCGGGTGCTACCCACAATGCCTCATCGGGCTTTGATAAAAACAGAACCATCGGGTGTGGCAGTGCAATCCTCTTTCTCACTTACAGTCTCTACAGACCCTGAAGCAGATACAATCACCATGGTCTTGTTTGCTGAAATGGTCTTCTGTTTCTCAGCAATAGCCGCACAAACAGCAACAATCTCATCACTTTCGAAGTCATAGTCAGGAATCGACTTTGGTGAGAGGTGTGTTTCTTCTGCTGGTGCTTCCCTTTGTTCCAGCCTCTGGGCAACCTTCTGCTGCTCCTGGAGTGTTCTTGCCCAGGAAAGGTCTTCTTTCCATATCTCAGGGTTCATTGGATAGATGTGAAGGGCTACTTGGAAACTTCGAATTGCCTAGCGAGGGAAAAAAATTCAGAAATCTTCATTTTGCTTTTTTTTCATTTCTTAAGAAATTGTTATGTATACAACAATCCCTTTTCTTCCTATATAGAGAGAGATTGGTAAATAAGCATATATAAAAGAACGTAAGTTTTCCCTTAACCATGAAGACAAAGCAAATATATTGTTCCATTTTGTAGACTAGTAGATTGACAAACCTGTAGATTCCTAAACTCCAGGCTAAACTGAAATCAGCACTGCAATAAACACCTCTAAAGTCCACTGTGCTTCCAAATGTATATATGTAATGATACAAATGTAGAAGCCATGTAATGATCCCCAGGACCTGCTACACCAAATAGTCCTAGGAGGTTTAAGGGTAGAATGCAACACTCTAATACCTTTTATCTCACTAGCAACAGAAGGGGAGGAAATTGAGAAGAGGTAGGGGGAACCACCAAGAAATAATCGCCCAGAGTGGAGCGCATGGTGAAAACTTCTTGACCTTGGAGAAACCAGGACAAACAGAGGTCTCCATGGGAACACAGCACCTGTGAATGCTGAAGGCAACAAAGACTTTCCTCCACCACCACCAAAAAATGGGCCTTCACCTAAAGTTGGCTCCCTGAATTGGAACTTTTAAACTTCTAAAAGGTTAAAGAAGTTTTAAACTCCAAAAACGTCAGCTTGGTAAAGCCATCCAGTTGTGATGTTTCTGTTATGGCAGCACTAGAAAACTAAGACACCTACAGGTAGAGAATACATTAACATGTATTCAGTGCTTCTGAGGTCTGGTGGCCTAGTGGCAAGAAGATGTGCTAAATCCCGAAGGCATGCGGTTCAAATCCACCAGGTGCTCTGAGGGAGAAGGATGGGCAATCTCCACTCATGCAATTTACTGCCTCTGAAAACTGCTGTAGGGTTTTCAGAGGCAGTAAATTGTGCTGGGTCAGTTCTGACTCAATGGCACACAACAACAATTCATTCTCCAACTGTACATAAGCACATGAGGCAACAGAAAATATTCTAGATTTAGTCAGGCACATCTTGGTCCTCAAAGTGATATCTCTGCTTTTTAACATTTTCAGGAAACCCTTTGCAGCTTTTTCTGCCCTACAGAATATGTTCTTTGATTTCTTGACAGATCTATCCATGAGCATTGATTGTGGTTCCACGTAAAATGAAATCCTTGAAAACTTCAGTATTTTCTCCATTGATGATGCTACTGCTTATTAGTCCAATTTTAAGGATATTTATTTTGTTTCTTTATAGAAAAGACAAATACAGAATAGATAACAAATCAAAAGATCTTACTTATTATTTCTATGAACCTGTAAAACAATTTTTTATAAATAGAAGTAACAATATATTCCCAAGAGAACCAGAAAAATGTAAGCCATTCATAATTTAATAAAGTCACTGTTATTACAGTTAAGCTTAATTGTTTTACCTTAAAACTAACCAGGTTTTGCTGTTGTAGTTCTATTTTTTCTTTTTATTATACTAGTTAAATTACAAAATTAAAATATATTGTTTTGAGAACAGTTTCTTCCAATTTTCCCCTCTCAT